GATTAGTTTGATAATCAGGACACATATAAACATCTTCTGACAATTCTAGCCCAGCCTTAATAATAAATACGTAAGGGCTAGTGCTTGGCTTCAAGGGTATACATACCAGCATTCAGGGACACTAGGGAGGACTGAGGTGTGACCTTTGGGCAGGTGAAAAACCATCTTTGCTTGCAGAAGCAAATAACAGAATATTGCAGCAGCTAAAGAAAAGTTTAACTCCTGGGGGTTTGCCCCAGGAGCTCTCTCTGCAACTAGGGTCTCAACAAAATGCCTGACAATTTCTAGGACAGACTTAAATGTACCTGATTTGAGTGCAAATAGTCAATAAACTAGGTACCCTGACCTTGAATGATAATAAAGAGCCCCTGAAAGCACTTGACCACCAGCCTAGGTTGACTGTCTTTCTAATCCACAGCTATTCCATGAATAAAAGGGGGGGACGAATTGGACTTCAGCTGAATCAGGGATAGAGTTTGAAAATGAAGCAAGAAAACGAAGCAAGAAGAGAGAAATGTGGTGAGGAAACAAGAGAGGAACCAACTTTTTCGAATTAGTCACACTAGAGGGCTAAAGTGGGGTTCAGTCACATTTGCCTCGTTACATGAAAGGGATGACCTATGCTGTGAGTTAATGACAGGAAGTGTCCATTTCCTAACACAACTTGGCTGTGTGTATAGAATAATAGGGATCAAAATCAGGTACAGTTCCAAGTCCATCTGAGCTTGCCAAGTACTTGTAAGAGTTTTTCATAGGCTGCTCTGGGTAATCCAAGGTACAGAAGGGGTGTCGGGGACAACCCTATCTTCAGAGGTTGCTTGGCACCCTAGCCTTATAACTAGTGGTTGCCCCCCGAGTGAGAACACAAGATAGGGGAAGGGTTACACAAATTTTATTTTGGTTATTGAATTAAACCAAAAGGAAATGCAGATTAAATCAGTATTTAATTCAGAAGAAGTCCATTTATGGTAGGAAATCATGACAAAATTTCCAAAAGCAGACATGGTGTTTATGGGGGATGGATCTCAGAACTTTTGAGCTGCACTACAGCCTTGTTCGGTGGTGAGCAGGACTGCCATGGTTTAGCATGGGAAACAGAAAGGGGCCCAGGATAAAATGTACACAGCTCCTACTTACCTATATTGACAAGCCTCATATAAAAGCATAAACATACTTCACACTGACAATGAGGGAAACACCTCCACACCATTCAGCTGGGGTCAGTTCACCTCCTCCCATTCAAAAAGCAATTTAAAAGTGGATCGCTAAAGCAAAAAGCTTTCGATGTTAGGATCACGGGCATTTCGCCATGCAGACAGAACGACAGAAGGAGTACCAGCTTGTGTGCCAAATCTACCTGCTGGAGGATTTAGCTGTAGTCTTTTTCATAGCCCTTGACTTCTGACTAAAACAAAACTGCACAGTTACTGATGTGAGATCTGGAACATCCTTACAGACTAACCCCATTGGATGGAGGACCTGAAATCCCTGTGGAACAAGCCATCAGACAGAGGACCAGATTCACAGGAACATGGACACTCTGGCCACAGCAGCCCCAAGAAGAGTCCCCTTCCCAGGAGGGAAGCACGCATTCTTCTTCATCCTGCCTTCACTTCCTCCCCCTGAAACAAATGATTTTTCCTGCTTCTCAAAAGAATGAAAGCCACTACATGAGAATTCTCTTAACACTTGCACTTGAAGCTTATCTATTGCAATCCCACCCTTCCTCTGCCCCAGCTGCCCCAGCTCCTGCCCAACACCAGCCCATGGGGCACCTGCCCACCCCAGGCAGTGCTTCACCAGTGAGCCCACCCTACCCTCCCACTTCTCCCTCCAGCCCTCACTGTTTCTGGCCAGTGAGCATCCTACCTGGTCTTCTGGCTTCCAGTCATTCTGCTGCCTGTGGTTCCTTCTTACTGTTTAACTTCACTTCTCTGCTCAAAAGAACGTTCATGGCTTTCCCAGTTATAGATGGGTCATACTCCTAAAACTCCTTTACAAACTGGAAGTTATACTTCAGCCCACATTCACTCCTCCATTTGCCCATTTACTAGGCACACAACATGTGTCAGGCACTGTGCTGAGAGGCCTGCAGCGTGTCTGAAGTGTGGTCTCTTCAAGTGACTGGTGCAGAAACATCAGAGAACCAGCTCTACGGTCTAAGCATCATTTATCCTCTGTCCATTCAACAGGTATTCATGAGCACCTACCATGCATCAGACACTCTACTGGGCATCAAGGATGTAATGAAAGACTCAGACCAGCCCTCAGGAAGTTTAAGGCCCACCGAGGGAAGCAGCTTTCCGCAGGAAGAGAGCATTCCTGCAGGGGAGAATCCTCAGAACACTCCTATCGGACAGAAACAGGTCTAGCCAGAACTCCTTATCAGAGAAAAGGCAAACTATCAACGTGCAAGCAACAAAAGTAGAAACAGAACTACAGTCACTTTAAGTGTTTAATATATTTAATTACTTTAATTTGCTTTTTAAAAATCTTGCAAAATCACTGTCTTGTTTCCACTCTATTTTATCAGTTTCCTACCCAGAGCCCACATATTTGATTCAATTCACCCTCAATAAAGGCAGAAGGCTGTTCTGCCCTCTCTTATCAAGTGCTATACCTCTCCAATTATCTGCTTCCAAGTGCTGGTGGAAATAAACTTTATACGCTAAACCTAGAATTTAAAAACCTTAATGTTATAGCAGTGAAACTGTATGCAAGGAAAGCCACCTTTCTTTAGCGAAAGATTCTTCATGAAATTTTATGAAGTCTTCTGTTTAATACGCAAATATCCATTCTGCTTAATTCTTGAGTAGAGCTTACAGTACTGGTCAGTGCACTCTCACTCACTTAACAGCCTGGAATAGTACGAGGATGGCAACACATTTGCCGTGTTTCCCACTCAAAAGTCTGCAGGCGTCACAGATCATGTACTTGCAATGGGAGCGTTCTGACAAGGAAAGTGGCTTGGTCTTGCTTGGCACCAGCTACAAAGAGGCAGACCAGAGAGGTTAGGAACCTCACCACTATCACCTTGTGAACCAGCCAGGACTCACACCCAGATCAGAAGGATTCTGAGTCCAAGCCTCTTCTCCCACCTCTTACAATGCACTTCAGTGTCACCCAGGACACAGACATGAAACAAGCACACTGATAACCTTAATTGTATTCCCTGCTCCTGTTTCATGCATACACCAGTCAAAACTAAACATCTAGCCAGCAATCATGCACTTGGGAATATATGTCCATATTTCTAGTAATACGGTAAGAAGAGAGTGCTAATTTAGAAAGTAAGGTCAGAGTTCTCTGTAATCCAGATGCTGTTAATTCGAAATTGTCATTCCTGTGTATGTCTGACTTGGTCAAGTTTTACTGCATTTCTATGGGATAAATTCACAGTCAAGAATAAAAAAGACACCGAGAAGGCTGTTTTAGCTGGTTGAATCATCAGCGAGGGGGATTTCAAGGGTGAACATGACTTAGCTACTCAAGGCACTGGCGGAATAGAATTGGCTTTTCCCCAGAGCTAGATAAACAGGCCAGCCTGGCAGTGAGCCAGGGCGACAACCACAATGGGGGACTAAATCATCACTGGAACACATCGGAAATGTGGAGCCACTTAACTCAGGGGTGAACATGAGACTCCTTACATAAGGGGCAAGATGCAATCGGTCCTGTTTCCGCTCATGCGGACTGGGCCTCCGAGGAGAAGTAAACACACTGCTCACCAGCACAGACCTGCCTCTCCTGAGACTATTTTCCCCCATAGAACAGCATGAGTGAAAAGCGGGCCCCACTGCCAACCCCAGTGTCCCCTGGCTGACGGGCATCTGAAATTCTGGATCTGAACCACGCCTGATGGTGTTATTAGCTAAATTTTAAACAGGTTTATGAACACCTGGTTCAGAAAATCAGATGCAATAAATCCCTTATTTTCAACATATAGGAAAATGTATATATTTTTATTAAGGGTCTTTATTAATGCCACCTTCACTAGATAAATATGGAGCAGATACTTAAAGATCAGCAGTAACAATATCAACGATTAGCCCTCTCAGGACACCCGCCTGTCTGCGGCCGGCAGCCCTGGCTTTCTCATGAGAAAGAACTTTGCTCAACTAATTTCATAACTCATAAGTGTTTATAGTTCCCATAAAACGAAACAAGAAGAACCATGTTTCCTAATCTAATCCCAGCAGTCATTGTTAGAACAATTTAATAACATTTAAGAAGTCAATGGTTCAATTTGTGACCAAGAGCAATTTCTCCTCCTCTAGAATCTGTAAGTTAAAAAGACTGCCTTTCCACAAAGGAGATGGTGTCTGTGAAAATGCGCTACAAACCCCCTACACGTGGCAGACCCTCCCGAGTAGGAGGTGTTGTTTGGTCCCAAACCATACAACATGCTGGCTCCCTTGGCCTGAGCTACGCCCCCGCTCATCGTGAGGCCTTGATTTTCTTGAATGCACGCTCAACCCTTATTTAGTGTTACTAATATCTTCCAAAAGTGACCTTTACACATGATAATCCATAGAGTTAATCATAAATCACCTATTAGTCAACTGTTTTCAACTTTTATGTAAGTAATTCCTCTACTCAGCTGACACTCAGTAGCACGATGAGTACTCTGAATTGGCCATCTCTACTTCCCCTTGCAGGGAGAAAGGATAACAGCGACATGGTCCACAGAAAAGCTCCAAAGGCAATACAACTTAGTCAGCTATGCCCATTATAAAGCACTCTGAAATTTGTTTTTATGAACAGTAACAGAACAATTTATGTCGGAATTTGAAGCATGGAAATTACAGCATTAAATTTAACACCATTTATGAAACTTTACAGGGTCCTTTAAAACATTTGTGTATGCTCATCAAATGGTGTTTCACCCTGCCACCTCCCCCTCCAAAAACTGCACCTCTTTCCAGTAAGTTGGTGGCCACCTAGAAAGTGTTTCCAAAGAATTACCGACACAATAAGGGTGTCTGATTTCATTTACTTACCTAGTGTATCTGCAAGAATGCTGGGGACTCTCAGCGAGCAAGTTCAGGAGAATGTCACCTGGAGAAACAAATCAAACAAAATGTTGAATTAAAAAAAAAAACACATGTGTTTGTGATGTTCCAAATATTGTTCCCAAGCAGCATGTTCTTCAGCCTGCAACAGAACACAGCCGTGGGGGCACTGGTGAACCACACTGGGGGTGAACACCGGGGGCGAACACCGAGGAACCAGAAACACTGAGAGGCCGTGTGGAAGGTGCAGCCCAAGAACACACACCTTGCACTGGCTTTTCCTTTCCCCTCACAAAGGGACCCACTAGAAATGTTACTTGTGCCCTTGAGGGCGCTGGGTAACAACCACAAAGGCACAAATAACCCAGCAACAAACTAAGGAATGACATATGAGATTGTGAATGAGAAAACTATCCTGGTAGCACTCTATGTCTTCTACAATAACTCTAACTTTTTTAGAAGCTAAATTCACAAGGATGTCAAAGACTGGAGAAATGAAAAAAAATCATCATTAAAACTCGAACACAATAAACAGGAACTGAGAAGTAAGAATTAATTGAAGGATTGATCAGTCTGTTCAGAAATCATCTTCCTTTTGGTGTTCTCAGAGTCTTCAGGTAACCTTAAAAATTTTAAGTCTATTAATACATGCACAAATCCCAAAATGTCTGTTCAGGATTGCTTGGAAATATTCAAGAGAAATGGAGCAAATTTCTAACATAAAATATCACAGTTAACCACTAGTTGGAAAGCTGTTGCGCACCTAGGAAGGTGTAGCATCAGATTACAACCTCTCCAGACAGTCAGCATGTCCACTGACAGATGAGGAAACCAATGTTGAAAGAAGCAGAGAACCTTCCCCAACATGACACAGATCCAGGGTTTCCAAACAGGACTCTTCTACCCTGCCATGGGACCCCATGACAGCACACCCCTTCCACAATACACAGTCCTTCCATCACCTCCCAAACAGAAACCGGACGGGCCCTAGAACTCCGGAAAAGAAGTTGACTAACAGATAAAAATGAACTTCTGCTTTTTGCATGCTTCAAAGTAATTCCATCATTTCAAAATAATTAGCCTAACCATGCTATTTAGGACTATAACGGGATATAGCATATGAATAAAAATTTAGAAATAAAGGGTTTAGGGTTCAAGAAATATTAAAAACACAACTAGGGATAAAGAAATAGTTTTAACTCCACGTAAGGTGGATCAAACAGAAAACATTCAACAGTTTGAATTCTATTGATAAACAAGAAAGCAGAGAAAGGTTAAGCGCCCATCTTCTATAATGTCAAACTTTCCAATACACCCATCATAAACTTTGATAACAAAAATCTGTAATACCAGGCTGTGCATATCCATACTTATAATTCGAGGTTAAAGAGCCAGTGCAGGGCTCAAAGTCCCCTCTGTCTGAAGAAACTATTTTAGTTCAGTAACCAGCTCAAAGATACTGCACAAGAGGCATTGGGTTTCACTTCAAAAAAAATATATTAAAAGAGAATTCTGAACTCATAAGGTCTTTTGTTATAATAGCTTAGGGGAGCTATGATTTTATTTTTAAAAAAATGATTCTAGTAAGTTAATTACTAGTTAAATTCCAAGCAGTTCCCACAGCTTCATTTCACCCCTTTAGGGAGAGTCACAGGACGCCACGACCGGCATTCCTGTCGGAAAGCGGCTGCTGGGAAAGCACCCCAGGACCACGAGGAATGGGTCTGTCCTCCATGGAGGTCTCGGTCAGCACTGCGTGGCCTCTAAAAGTGAAACGGCTCACAAAGATACTCGAACTAGCACAGTCCAAAATCAAAGATAACATTTCAAAAACCTCTTTTGTTATATCCAACACAAGCAAAGCTCTGGACATCCCAAGATGGATCCCAAGAGCTTCGAGATTCCAGAGAGAGAAGGCAGGGGCAAGTGCTGATTCCCGCCCCACGTTTCCCAAACTCCCATTGCTGGGGAAAAGCACTTCTTAGAATATATGAATTTGGCCTAAATTCTGAAGAGAAAAGGGTACTTGGGAATAAGTTTTCAGTATCATGAAAAAGCTTCTCTGACAATAAAGTCTTATCTTTTGAAACTCCCAAAGTGATCAAAAAGATAAAACATGACAATTCTGTTACTGGGTTTGGTCATTTTACAGGGTGTTATAGTAATTTTTATTTTTTAAATGTTATTTCAAAAAATACAATAGATTAAACATATACTGTCACAGAGCCCTCCAAAGTTCACAAAATAATAGTGATTTTATTAGGCATTTACTGTCAGGCACTGCTCTATGTACTTGATGGGAATTAACTCATTTACTTTTCATAAAAACTTTAAAGGTAGGCATGAGTATTATCCCCAAATGAAAGATAGGGAAGCAGGCACAGAGATGTTTAAAGAACTTCCCAAAAGTCAGAAGGTTGCAAGTGAGTACTCACATACACTGTCACATTTAATCCCAACAACTACAGAACACGGGCTGGGCAGGAAGTTCCACCCCCAGTTTAACTCTGAGGGAAACAAGTCCTGAGGCACAGAGACTGACTTTTCCCAAGTCGAACTGCCAGACAGCACCAGGGTCACAAACAGAACCCATGGCGTCCAACAGCAAAGCCAGGGCTGTTCCTTTTACTTGTATTTGTTTGTTTTGTTTTAAATTCGGTTAATCAACATGGAACTCAATGCAGAGAGCGAGCCCTGCCTTTACTCTGGGAGAGGACACCGCAGGGCTCTCCCGTGGGGAGGGCGTCCAGGGCAGCGCACGCAAAGGCCTTACCGGGCTGCCCTGTCCCTGCTTTTCCATTTTTCTACGTGCAGTTAATGTCCTTCCCCAGCTGGCTGTTAAACACAGGGGAGTGATAAAAATTAGAAATATCTGTCTTCATCATTTATCATTTTGTCTCCGTTTTTATAGGTTAGTAGTCTATCTGGCCATTTAAATTATTTATAGCCCAGTAAATGGGAGGCACTGTTGACTCTCCCAAGTACTCTATTATAGAGAGAATGAAAATCACTATTATGTCACCCCAATAAATTCAATTAAAAAAATTTTTCAAAAGCAAATTACTGTTAGCTTTGAGTTAAAAATGTTGACTTCCCATTCATCTCCATTTGCGTCTCATGCCCTCTGGTCCACTTCCGGAGATGGGGAGGAGAAACAATAGATGCTTTTAGTGTCTGAATACCCACGTGGTAGGCACCAGCTCTGATTTATTGAATAGAAATGCCAAAAACAGGAAGCAGAGTTGTAAGACCCCCTTCTCAGTTATAACCTTTTGTGACTTGAAACATACCGGTTTTAATTGTTGCACATTACTCCATAATACTCGAACCAAAAAGTGTAAATTATCTCAGAAGTTAGTTTTGAGGATAAATTTCAGCTTAACTAAAGAAACAATGTCATATGAAACAGAGCCACCCCAAGTGGTCTAGGGTGCCTCCAGGTAGGCTAAGAAGCCATAGGAGGGGAAAGTCTCGATACCTGTCCTCTAACACAGGGTCCTCCTTGACCCCTGCAAGAGTTCACTACGCCCATCTTGGGCGAGAATGGAAGTTCTCAGGGCAAAACCCCACATAAGTCACATGACACTTTCCAATTCATATTCTCATTTGATCCACTCTAAGAGTAGAAGGGTAGCTGGAGTGGGGGTGAGGGCAGACACAGCATTTATTATTGCCATTTTACAGACCAGGAATTTGAAAAACTTAAGTGAAATCACACAATGAGTAAATGCTAGAATCTGGGCTCCAACCTGGGATTTCCGATTCCCAAGTCCAAGGTAATTCCAGCTAAGTGATATTGCAACAACCAAGACATGATGGTTTTCAACCACCAAACTTACTCATCAAGAACAGGGGCATGGATGGTCCTCCAAAACTTGAAGCATGGAAATGAATACCAAAGGAGATAAGCTAAAACCTACTCCTCTCGCAAACCACCCCTTCCACCTCACTAAGAAGTACTCTGTATTTCCAGCAGACACTCTCTCTAATGCTCTGCTTACATGTGTCAACTAAACCAGTAACTGTCCAAACCCTGCTTTACTATGGTCTGTTGATACACTAAATGCTTGAGGAAATTGGTTCACATTTTAAGGAAAGTTGGTGACAGCGTGATAAGCACAAAGAATGGTGTCCCATTTCTGCCTCTAAAGTATAAGTTTCTCAAAGACTTGGCTGGTAGGTTGTTTTTTTGTTTTTGTTTTTTTAAGTCAATGAAACACACTGACTCTAGTCTAACAGCAGGTCCAGGATAACCTTGCATTTGAGTCTGACAACAGGAGTTCAAGAGAAATGGGTCAGCCATTGAAGGACTGCTGAACCTTGCAAGATTTTCAAGGAAAGACATGAGAGTATCAAATTTCCCGGAGCTGTCTACCAAGCAGAGAGAGTGGCAGGCTGCCAAAGGCTGGACTGTGTTAACGAACTCGTGTGAAAGGCTGGGAAACTGAACCTCCACAAGGCCTGCCTGCCACTCCGCCACAGGGGGAATGACTGCAGTTCAAGTTTCCAGAGACCTCAACAACTATGAGCCAAATGTTGATCACAAAAACTTCCTTTTTCCCTTAAGGAAGGAGAAACTACTTCATTCAAAAATCACATCAACAGGAAGTTGTTATAGGGTAAATTTTAAATATCTGGGCACAACAAAATAGCCAGCAACAAGTCAGGTTCGATTATACTGCGTTTGCGACACATCAGGTTTGTGCATCAAAACAGTTGTTACTATGCACGCACAGCCAGGGCCATGTTTCTCCACATAACGGTTGGCCGTTTCCCGAGAAGGAAACTCACTCTGCTCACTCCTCTCTGCACGGCGCCTGGCATGGAGTGGGTGTCTCATGCGTGTTCACTGAATGAACGATTGGAAGACTGCATCAGGAGAGTCAAAAGCAGAGTATGAGGAAGAGAGAAATACTGGGTTATTCGGAGGGAGAAAATCATCAGGCAAGGATGACAGGAAGAATTCCAGCATGAGGAGAAAGCACAAACGATGACTCGCAGGCACAGCAGACGCCCGGCCAAATGCCTGGTCTGGACCAGCCTCCA